CCCCCCCCCCCCCCCCCCGTGCAGGGAGTGGGTCTTCTCCTCCTCCTTCATCCTTGTGCCACCAGCTGTTTTAGGGCTTTCTGAATCTGTGGCTTTGTGTGTACACCCTCTGCATGTAGTTCAGTTTATGTGTCCAGTGGGCTATGTGTTCACAATGGGGAGATCACAGGAGTGTTTGCAAAACCCAACACCTCCCTAAGCACTTGTATTGGGTAGTTGGTCACAGTCTGACTTGTTATCAGTGTGTGACCCCACAAATGCCTGTAAGAGAGTGTCTGTGGAACTGGGTGTATGTCTGTGTCCAGATATCTCCGGGACAGACCATCATCTTCAAGAGTCATGTGGTAGGCAGAGGGTGTCTCTAAGCATGTCTTAATCAGTGTGTTTACCTTTGTGCGTTTGTGTCTGTGTATGTGTCTTTAATAGTCTGGCTATCCATGCATGGATATCTTTCAACTTGTATTTAGGTGTGTGTGTGTAAGAAGGAAGGGGAGTTACAATGTGTCTGGGTACTCACTGACAATTCTATTAATTAATGAGGGGTGTGTATATCTGAAGCCATACAGTTGTGTGTGTGTGCGCGCACACACGCGTGTGTGTCGGAAAGGCAAGGTTTCACTATGTCACCACAGCGGGGATGGAACTCACAGTGATGTATCTGCCTCTGATGCCTGAGTGCTGGGATTAAAGGTGTGTCCCACCGCTCAGGGTTAGTATGTCTTAATGGCAGGTGTTGATGTCTAACTTTGAGCTGAAGGCAGATGAGGAGTTGCACATCCAAGTATGTCTGCATATCTGTTGCTTCAGGTGGGGCTGGTGTGCTGGGCTTGGTGTTTGTGGCCATGTCTGAGGGGTGGGCACCTGTGTCTGTCACTCCATCCTGGATCTGTGTTTCTGTAGCCAAGGTTACTCTATGTCTGGTAAGGGAGGAGTATGGAGACAGTATGTGTATCCTCCAGGCTCCCTGGCCTCCTGCACCTTCCCTAACCAGCAGGGCAGGCAGCCAGTGGAGCCCCGGGGTGCCATTTACTCTGGCACTTTCTGTCTGTCTGTGGGAGGGGGAGATGAGCCGATAAGCCTTATCTGCTATTACCAGGGCCATGCTGAATAACCGTTCTAATGAGGTGGCCTCACTGGGACCACCAACTCCCAGGCCCCCTTCCTATTGGGTAGGGGCATGACCAGCCAGACCTGGAGCACAGAGCCAACCCCCTACAGACCTAGTAACCCCTGTGTCCTAGAGACCCTTATTTTATTTATTTATTTATTTATTTATTTATTTATTTATTTATTTCTGCAGCCGGGAATCAAGTTCTCTCTTTTCCATGGGCTGGCCTGGGCTGGTTAGACCGACAAGAGCCGCTCAGTCTGGCCTCTGAGGCACACAGTATGAGGCCCAGAACTTGGGATGGAGGTGATTGGAACCCAATGACAGAAAGATTCAGAGGGAAAGGGACAAGCAGCAGGGACTGCGGGAACAGATTTTTTTAAAATGCAGTCACGCTAAGTGACTATCAGGGTGGGCCTAGGGACTGAGCTACTCAGGCTGAAATAAAACAACAAGTGGCAGAATGAACCAGAGAGGTGGCAATAAAAGCGAAGAAAGTATCAACCGGAGAGAGGGACGGACAGGGAGACAGAATCAAGACGCGCGGGAATGAAGAGAGACGACGGAAACATAAGAGGAAGGAGAGAAGAAAGGCCCAGAGAGGCATTGGGGGGGGGGGGGGGGGTGTGAAGCAGGGCTGGGGAAGAAGGACAGACCAAAGATGGAGAGACTGAGTTGGCCGGGCTGGCCAAAGAGAGGCCAAGGCCTTGGAGACCCGGGAAGGCATGAGCTAGGCTCGGACCCCGGGCGGGGCACCGATCACGGGGCGATGGCGATGGGCAGGGGGGTCTGAGTGGGGCTGAGCCGCTGTCCGGGGTAATTTTTCATCTCGGCCGGCTAATCTTTGTTCCCGGCGAAGATAATGAATAGCCAATCGTTATCTGCCCGGCTCCCGGAGGCTGCCCGAGAATGGGGTTGTACAGGGCTGGGAATTGTTTCCAAAGTGCCGCGGAATAAATGGTGTTTCTTATCTCTGCCTTCCAGATTATCGCAGCCCTTTCAGAGCGCGCACAACAAATGCGCCCGCCATCGAATGCAGCATTTACCACCGCAGATCCGCGCGCCGATGGGCAGGCAGATAGCGTCCGCGGGGGGCTCGCCGGGCGGCGAGTGTGCGCCCCGGCTCTGCCCGGTGTGTTTGGAGGAACACGTGGGTATGCCAGCGAGTGGACCCTGAGCGAGCACGGATGTGAGTGTGCGAGCAAGTGTGCCTCGACAAAGTGCACGTGTGAGAGTCCCCGAGCACACGCGTGGTGAGTGTTCGTGGCGAGTGCCAGGAAGTGGCCGCCTAGACGCACGCGGGAAGGGGCGCTGCACGTGACCGCGTGGGGACGCATGCAGTGGGTGTGCTAGCCGCGTGCACGAGCGAATGTATTGTGAGGACCTACAGGTACCTGGCCCCGGAGAATGCTGTTTAGGGGAGCGGAACAGAGGGGTTTGCAGCCACTCATGAATGTTACGTGCAGCACGTGCAGGCCGCACTCCACAAGGTGTGTTTCCGAAGCTGCGCGATGGGCGCAGTAGCCTGCGTTTGAGCCCGTGGCACAGGCTCGGATCTGTGGGACAATGTGTACCCAGGGCGACCAGGTGTACAGAGAGATGCGCAAAGCGAAGGGTCATTTTCGAGCCTTGCTTGAGCCTGTGTTGTGCAGACTCTGGGCTGGACGTTGACTGTGAGGATGACAGCGCTGTATGCCGGATCTGGGGAATGCTGGAGAGTGACACCGGGAGAGTGGCTGTTTGGGGAGTTTGAGAACGCCCAGGGGTTCCAGTTCTGGCCCTGGGACCCCTCCGCCAAGGCCTTACAGCTGGAGCGACAGAGCCCAACCCGCCGCCCGAGGTCCGGGCCGTGAGTGACACGCGCCGCCACAAAGGCTGTATTTTTCCAGGCCCGCGCCCCGCCCGCGCGCGATGGTCCCCATGGCGACGCAGATAACGCGCGGCCATTTTCCTATCTCCCCGGAGTCTATTATACTGCGGGATTAGCTCATCTCCAGGCAGGTCAAACCCAAAGTCACACAACCTGCGGCGTGAGCCCCGCCTCCGGCCGCTCCTCCTCCGCAGCCTGAGCGAGCGACCCCCGCGGCAGGACCGGTACGCGGGAGCAGAGCGCCACCTGGCGGCTGCAAGTTCCCGGTGCGCTGCGTGAGAGGCCGCAAGTGCCCCAGGCTGTGGCTTTGTGTGGTCGCTTGGGCGACCCCTAGGGAAAAGCTGGCACACAGTAGGTACCCCCAAACTATTTGCTGGAAGGATGGAAAGGCAGAAAAGTTGACAATGGCTAACTGCCAAAGGCCACCGCATGTTGGCAACAAAAGCCCATCCCACTGAATGAGGAATAAAAGCCGATCTCCCTTGCAACCCTGGCAGCAGCCTTGCTGACTCCAGACCCGATTTTCTCTTCCTTCTTCCAGGGACAGCAGCCTTTGGATTCTCTGAACAGGAACCCTCCATCCCTGTGTCTGCTGGTTTCTCCACCCAGAGTAGTCGGCCTGTGGTCAAATATCACCTATCAGACAGTTGCTCCTCTCTCCCCTACCCCTCCTCTGCTTGTTAGTCAGTTTCATAGTATCCAGTGAATTCTCTAATAACATTTGCTTGTTCAGGGTTCTGTGATGTTCCGGACAATGGCGGAGCGACGGAATTTCTGACAATTGGTTTGGATTATCACAACATTAGGAACTGACTGAGGACCAGAAGGGTAAGCTGGATGGGCCAGGCTGCACAGCTTTCTTTGCATCATTGAACCTAGGCTACTTGCTAGCTGTGAGTTAAGAGTTACTCAGTAGCCACCCGGGCCCCAGAGCTTGACTCCACCCACCAACCCCATCTGAATGGCAGCTCCAGGGTCCCTCACTTCTCTGCACCTGCTGTGAAGGTGAACTGGCCTCATCTTGCTCTCCTAGAGCAGGTCCTGAGAGATGGTGGTGGTGATGGTGGCGGTGGTAGTGGTGGCAGTGGCGGTGGTAGTGGTGGTGGTGGTGGTGGTGGTGTTAGTGGCAGTGACACCTGAACCACAGGAGACCGCACTCTCCGTTTAGGTTAATTAGGCACAGCATTCCTGGCTTTGGTGATCCAGCTGCTGCCAAGTGAACTCAGCAGGCTTCATCCTGGGGACTGGGAGTGTTGGGAGAGGTGTGGCCAGGAGTGCTGGGAGTTACAGTACTAGCAGCCTCCTTAGCGCTGTCCTGGAAGAGGAGCTGAGTGGGGACCCTTCCACGCCATCCACACCCCCACTCCCACCTCCCACACACCCTCTCAGCTGGGCAGCCCTATGCACGTTGCTTTCCCGCTCTGAGCCCCTGGTTCTGCCTCCATAGCCCTCCCTCCAGGATCACGGACTGTTGGTGTGGTGTGCAAGCTTGCCTTTAGAAAGCATTTTGTGAGGCTGGCTTGTCAAGTTGGCAGACAGAGTCTCCGGCAAGTGCCATGCCCAGTGTCTGCCAGCACTCTGGAGTGGGGGATTACATGTAAAGACTCTCATGTCTTGCTTTTTGTGAAACATTTCAAGACTGGCCACTTGTACCTGAGTTTTTGCATGGAGTGCTAGAGTTCTGCAGAATCCCCTCTGAACACCTGGTGCCCACCCGTCCCCACCCCCTGGGTCACGGTGTGTTTCTCACGGAGCCACTGACTACTAGTGGTTGTGTTCATTTTGCCTTTCCTTTCAGCACTGGGGCCTTCTGTCTTGTTTCTCCCTGTAGGACCAGTAAACCACTTAGCAATGAATTAGTCAATGAATTAATATGGGCAGCATTACAAGGAGGCACACAGCCACCCTATAAAGGTCTCTGGCTGTGCCCATTGCACTTTGCCCAACCTTCCCAAACAGTGCAGCAGCCAGACCTGACTCATCACGCAGATGAATTAGTCATCAGGTTATGGTAAATATTGGGAGGGGGTATGTTTTCTAATATCCAGACCTTCCTCCAAACAGTGGGAGTCGTGGAGCAAAAGAAAAGGGTTTGCAGCCACTCTTGTAGCGAGCGGTAGAGGTTTGGTAAGGCAGTAGGCACAGCAATAGCCAGGAGGAGGTCTGAGGAGAAGGCACGTACAAGAACTTGGGAACACAATATATAAAGAGGGTTGACTTGGCCAACAAGAGGGCTCAGTGGATAAAGGTTTGCCACCAAGCCTGACCTGAATTCAGTCCTTAGAACCCACATAGTGGAAGGAGAGAGTCAATTTCTGCAAGTTGTCTTCTGGCTTCACCCCCCACCCAAAGTAAATAAGTGCAGAAAAGGTGGCACCAAATCAACAGAAACCACAGTGGGAAAATGCACAAGGGTATGGAGAGACAACTCATTAAAATTAATAAGATGTCTCTTAGATAAATCAAAACATGCAACTTCCTTAATCTTTTCTCGTTAATTCAGCTCCAAATGTATCAATTACGTTGTCTTTTTGTGTTCTCTCTCTCTCTCTCTCTCTCTCTCTCTCTCTCTCTCTCTCTCGTTGTTGTCATTTTGTGGGGTGTGCTGGTGGAACTCAGAACCCTGAGATGACCTCTGAGCCAAGCCAGACTCAAAACTGGGACCATTTTTGAAAGACAAATTGTAGCTCTCTAAGTCAGGATTCATGAGCAGTGGTGATGCACGCCTTAATCCCAGCACTCAGGAGGCAGAGGCAGACGGAGCTCTGCTTTCCAGGCCAGCCTGGTCTACAGAGTGAGTTTCAGGACAGCAGAGCTATGTAGAGAGACGTCTCAAAAAACAAAAATGAATAAATAAGAACTCTCTGGTCTTACTAAATGATGGGCCCATTTGTATTTTGGCAGTTGCTCAGCCATTTTTGGAAAGAGAATGGACTCGGGGTGGCAGCATGGAGGACAGAGGAGCACCTGGAGGACGGTGGGGTGAGGCCAGGGTCCCCCCTGCAGTCTATCCAACCCTGACCTCCTCTCCCTTCGGCAGAGCTGCTCCCCTGCTCCCTGCTGCCGTCTTTTCCTGCCTGGATTACCATAGCAACATTCTCTCTGGACGTCACTGTTAGGAACCTCTCCTGTCTCTGCTAGGAGAAGCCCCTCCAGCCACCGAGCTGTCCTCCTGGCTAGCTTACATGGTGCAGCCCTCTCCCGGGTGCTGAGTGTTACCTTTCCAGTCTACTTCTTGCTCAGTTGGGAGAGGAGGGCATAGCGGGGAGAGGAGGGCATAGCGGGGAGCAGGAGGGTCCTAGGACTTGCAGCTTTCGGGTGGGCCACTGGGCAGAACAGTGCCTGGGATTCCCCAGGACACAGACAGCCTAAGTCTGGTGATCAGTCAGAAACAAGACCTGGAATAAAAATAAACAAAAATCCAAGGCCCAGTGCAGGGCCAGAGGTCAGCCGTGGGCCAGGTTAGGCCAACTGTGGAGACTGGGATGCAGGGCCGATGTCACAGGCACACAGGGGTTCCATCTTGGACCCTGCATTCACTCAGTGCAGAGGATTGATATCCCCCAAACCCCCAGCCTGGCCGATTGGAACTTCCTGTAGCAAGATGCAGTGACTGAGGATAGGGACGTAATTCAGGCCTGGGAGAATCACACCGCAACAACACTCATCTATTCCCTCGGGATCTGTCCTCTTGGTCAAACAGAGCTTAGAGTGGTAGTACCATCTTTGTGCCACACAGAATGCTTCCTGAGAGTAGAGCCACACGGGCACAGAGCGGAGAGTGACAGAGAAAAGAGAGGGACTCATACTGTGCTACCCATTTTGTTTGTTTGTTTGTTTGTTTTGTTTCTGGAGACAGAGTTTTTCTGTGTAGCCCTGGCTGTCCTGGAACTCACTCTGTAGACCAGGCTGGAAATGGCTTCAGGCTCTGGGATTTAGGGCTTTTGCCGTTCCCTAT